TGATGTAATTTTTAAAAATATAATAGGACATATAAATTTAATCTTATGCATTAAAAATAATATTTTCTACTTGAAGATGATTGAATCATCCTATACCAAAAAGATAATTAATCATCTTTATAATTCTATATTTTTAGATACAAACTAAATATAATATAAGATAATTATCATCTTATCTTATCCATCATCTTATACTCAAACATGATCGTAATATTATCAAATCGAAACATTTACTTTCCAAAACAACCAATACATAGCAAATTTGAAAGAAATATGATTGTTTAATTAATTACATTTGTAGATATCTCCGATTTGTGTGTCTAATGTTTATATTTAAAATATATAATGTTTTCAAAGAAATACACTTTCTTGTTTTTAATATGCCAAAATATGTTATATTTTATGTTAATAATTTAAATGATTAAAGACATAAGATTTGTTATGACCACCACTTGAAAGTAGATGTGATAATTTTAAATATAACACGATAATACAATACAATAATAATACGAATAAAAAATATAAAAATAACATAATTTAAAATTTTAACGAAAACCCTAAATAAATTTAAGAAATCAAAATATATATTTTATATTTTTATATCGATTCAAATTATAACACATTATTTTTATATAAAATACAATATAAATATATAAATTATCAATATTTACATACTCAAACCGACGAATCTATCTAAAAGCAACTTCTGGTTCAGCCAACGTCACTTAGTATAAAACATATGTTTTGCATTTTGATTGGTTTTTCAACTACATAGAAGTCACGGGGAAGTGAAGTAAGCTTCGGGAAGAAGACGACGAAGTTAGGCACTCGGTGTGATGTTTCAAGCCGGGCCCAGATAGGAAAAACTTGCAATGTATGTTGTCAAATCCCTACCGGCCAAGCCCATTCAATTTCACTGGACCACTCCTTTACTCGCACATAAAACGCGTTTTCTAAGTTTTATTGGATTGAGGTACAATTTTGGATTTTCCATTCACAGCTTCCGACCAAAATATTTGATGTTCCAACCGAATAGAAGGTTTTTTTTTTTTTTCTTACTACTATAAAATTTGAACATACTAGGCCCATTCTTTGAATCTATGCATGCTTTTGGTAAAGAGACAGACCCTAGCTCTAAATCTCAAATATTTTTAAATTGAACCGAATTCGATCTTCACATTGAATAGTGACTCAAATTAGATTACAAAATTTTAACTATTGATGTGAAGCTTTGAATATAACAACAACAAATACAAAAGGAAAAAATAACATAATTAAAGTGAAAGAAACAAATGGAAAACTTCAAGAGCGAGTAGGGTCGGAGGGTCACTCCTCCCTCTTCACAAATCATAAGAAAATGCGTGAAAACAGCCACAGTTTTGAAAGCATGTTTTCTCGGATCTTCACACTCTGCCATAGGTTTTTATTGTTTGTATTTTATATTTAATAGAAAGATAATTTTTATATAATTTAAATTTTATTTATGTTATTTAAGTAATTGAGCTAAGTGTTAAAGTAGACTAAATTAATTAGAGTTTTTCTAATTGGTCAAATAATTTTAAAAATTAAAAGCACTTAGGCTTATTTAGTAAATAGATTTAATTTTTAAATTTTTTATTTTTAAATATTATTAATTTTGAATAAATATGTTTGAATATAAAAAATATGATGTTTCGAATAAACATATTTGAATAGAAAAATATGACTATTTAAATAAAAAAAACTATAAAAATATAATGACTTTTTAAATTGACTTTATTGATGACTATTCATTTATTATAAACAAATTTTTTGTCTCATTAATTTTACTACTTTTGATTTAAAGAGTTTTTAAGATTTTGTTATATTTTATAGATATAATTATCTTTAAAATAATGTCATTCACGTCAAAATCATATTTCTTCTTTCTTATTATTTCTATTTTCTTAAATTTTCTAACATCCATTTTGGTTAAGTTTATTGGTCAACGGTCAATTTTGATCAAAATTTAATTAATATGATTACGTTTTGAAGTCGACAAAGCGCATTTAGATAATTACATTATCAACTTTAGGGAATGACTTGACCTTCTTTAAAAAAAAGACTCACCTAAGATTTCAAGGATATTTAATTAAGATAATCATTTCAAAATTAATCATTTGATATTTAATTTATCTAAAATCTGTAAATATAATTTATATTTATTCAAAATAATTAAATAAAACTAATAGCTATCCACATGAATCTTTTTTGAATTCTATGTAATTATCTTATCAACTATTGATTATCTTAGTTAAGTCACTGTCTCTTGGCCTCACACATAAAGTAATTAGAAGATCAAACACGTAAAACAATAATTATTACAATGCTTTGAGTTTTCTTTCATTGAAAGCTTTCTACACATATTTCTCCATTTCTAACCTCTTTCTTTCCTTCTTTCCCTTCTTACGTCATAAATTTGACAGGCTTTGAGCATATGAGTGTACTCTGAAATAACAACTCCAACACTCTATGATTGTGTTTTTTTTTTTTTTTGCAGGTCATAACTATCCTTCTTTTTTACTTCACCTCCTTCTTGCAAGTGAGACAACCTAAAAAACACCATCAACTTCTTTCTGACTTGATTTTGCGCCTGCAGCTAGCTTTGAACGTTGATTGCTCTTGTTGAATTATTTGGAACTGCAGTTAGGTTTCTCCTCTTGAGATTTATATTGATGTTCTTTTCATTTGGCAAGAAATTACCAGGTCTTCACTAGGTTCCATCGAGAGTGGACCGACCGACCACTTCGGTTTTCAAAGTAAACTCCTCTACTATGTTGGACTATTATTGTCTCTTCTCTTCTCTTTTCATCTTTGGGGACGTCATTTCCCTTTTTTTGTTTCTATATTAAATTAATTTAGAAACGTTTCTCTCGTTTATTCATACATAGTGTTATGTTAAGGTGATTCTTTAACCTCAAATTTAGTCTTTGTCTCTTCTTATTAATAAGATTAAAATGAGCATTTCTTTTGGGACAAAACAACTACCATCCAATATAAGCTTAAATTAAAAAAAAAAAAACCATTAGCAGCCATAAAATCTTTCCAAATTTGCCAAATTAATAATAGTTGAATGTTCGAAGCATGAGTTGAGTTAGTCACGAAAAAGAACAAAGAATGAACAAAAGGAAGAATTTTGAACGCAACCTTCAAATTAATATTCCATTCTATAAGTAAAGAATATATAAAAAAATCTTTATAAAATATCAATCTTATTAATTACCTTATTCCTTTTATAAAAAATCTCTTATACTAATATTAAATAAAAAAATTATTTGTTTTTTAATAGTAATATATATAAACCTAAGAATTAAAATTAGATTATTTTTTATATATTGCATGTTAAATTTTTTAATTTTATAAATAAAATTAAAAGATTATTATTAGTTTTCTATTATACTCTAAAAATATACGTAACTCTATCATTCTAAATGAACGTGATAAAAAATTTTAAAATTATTTATAAAAAAAAAAGATCTAAAAAAACGAGTGATTTATTTAAAAATATTAAAAGGATTTCAATCTTGATGCACGCCGTGAATCAGCATTCACGTTTTTAACAAATTGAACATTATAAATCTAAAAGACTCTTTTTCGAGGAGTTGGTTTATTAGACTTTACCAATTCCCGTGGAGAAGACGCGGAAGTATCGTACCGAAAAAATATTATGTTTGATTTTTTTGACTCAAATTGTGACTTTTTTAATTTAAAAAACGTGAAAATAAAAGCGTCCACGTCAGGTTGGGCCCCCAACAGTTTAAGTCTGGGTCCCATCTTCCTTGTATCAAGTCATCAATCGTCATCACAGAGGGAGATATATCTAACACATGTATGAAATTTGCAGGCTTCAATTAATGTACTAAGAAAAACCACGCTGGATCTTTAATGTTATCCATACCACGTGTCGTCCTAGACAATAGAGCCGTACGAAGGTCTTTGAGTGATCTATTGCGTGATGTCATCTTAAATTTAGCATTCTTGTTGGCTTGTACTATACTTGGAGCATATGTTGCAGGTAAATTACGGTAGTGTACTATGTAAAATAATTTCAGATAAAAGTCGAATTTTTTTGGATTAATTTTTATATTATTTCAATTCATATTTAAAAAAGATAGGTTTGAAAGAATTTAGATGTTTAATGTTTTATTCAGTCAAAATTAAATAGAGATTTAATAGTAAATTAAAAAATTTTTAAAAAATAATTTCATATAAAAAAGTAAAGAGATTAATTAAATTAATATTTCTGGGTCCGATAGTGAATGTTTAGATTCAAGACTTATCAATGATTTCTAGACATTATTTGATCTTCAATACACTATTTTTGTAGAGTATAGCACATTTGTTTTTAACATGAAAAATCAATTAGCATTTCATTCGGTAATTTATTTAAAGGGAAAGTAAGAATATGGCTAAAGTATGGCGTTGATGAACCAAAAGCCTTGGAAAAACTTAAAAGTAAATATTGTTGAATTTATGTACGCAGCGTGATGCATTAATCATCACCTTTTCCCTTTACCTAGCCGCCTCCAGTGTATTAGAAATTTCCTCATCTTTTCTTGGAATGATCTCAGTAAAATAACATGCTTTGTCACTGCTGCAACAGTGAAGCACTTTCCGAATCTGTTCAAGGCACTTGCAGCTAATTGGCTGCGGATGGGGAATTTTGTAGGCCAATATATTATTGGCCTTTTCCACAGAAAAACTTGCCTGCCAACATTAAACTTTTCCATATGGAATTTTAGCCAAAGAAACTGTGAAGCCATTTGAAAAATGATGACGTCCTTTTTGGTTTTAGCTACAAACATGGTGCAGAAGATAAACGAAAGGTCAAGTTCAATTAGGGACCTAGCACAGCAATAGCAAACAAATGGGAATCCAACTAACAAGTGGTGACGTGCAGCAACGTCACCCACAGTCCCATGACGTACCAGAGTGCGTAACAGGCGTTGACGTTAGAGTCTTCTCCCCATTCCTCCATTTATATAATAATTAATCACACAATAAAATCCCCACCCTGTCTGCTTCACCATTAAAAACCATTCTCTCAATTGATCCAATCTTTTCATATTCATACATGTCATCACATATTTAGATTTCATGCAAGAAGCAATTCCTTATAAATCATATATGGCGGCCACCGCCGTCGGCAGCCGCTCGCCGCGCAATTTTCTTGATGATGCTAAAAATGGTGGGGGACTTGTTACCAATGGTACTGAAAATAGTGTTACGCAATCGGTTGTGGAGAATGCGGTGGTAGTTTTTGGCAGACGTGGTTGTTGCATGTGCCATGTTGTGAAGAAGTTGCTACTAGGGCTTGGGGTGAATCCGGTGGTTTTCGAAGTCGACGAAGAGAAGGAAGAGGCTGTGCTGAATGAATTGTCAGTAATCAATGGTGATGGAGGTGGAATTCAGTTCCCCGCTGTTTTCGTTGGAGGGAAATTGTTTGGGGGATTGGATAGGGTTATGTCTACTCATATATCAGGTGAATTGGTGCCTATTTTGAAAGATGCTGGGGCTTTATGGCTCTGACTTATGAATCTGTTTCTAGTCTTGTTTCTGTTCTCCTTGTTTCTTTCTTCTTCTTTTTTTTTTTTTCCTAATGTCTCGAGGGATTGGATCGGAACATATACTAAGGAGAGAAGTGTTTCACTCCAGGACTTTCATGTGGGTTATTCGGTTTTATTTTACAGTTGGAGTAGATCATATAAATTTCTTTAAAATGAACGGAAATCGAATGCAAGATTCATGGAAAGCTCTTCTTCTTTTTGCTTTTTCTTTTGGAAAACTAGAAACAGAAGATAAAACTGTCGCCTTTTTGTTTTTAATGATCTTTCTTTTTGAAGCTAAAGGTTGATATGATTCATGAGGAAATAGATTCCACACGTAATACCTGGATTAGGATAGTCCTTAAGATTCAAGAAATTAATCAAAACCTAGTAAAACCCAACAATTCAACGACCATAAATTTGTCAAAATAAGCAAAGTTATTACGTAATTTAAGCATAGACAAAGTTCGTGCTGCAGAATTGTATAGGCGAGTCATGTTGCCTTAAGTAGACTAATTACCACAAAAACAAAGGACGTAGGGGAAAAAAATAAATTACTATTATAAAATTCCATTGAATCAATCAACTATTTCCATTTTCTTTCACATAAAGTATATTTTGGGATTTAATTTTTTTTATATAAAAGAATTCATAATCTTAAACTAAAAAAAAAAGATTAGAAGGGTTGAGATTTAATCTTTAAATATATATTAATATTATTTAAAACATAATTACACAAATTAATTAAATTAAAATTTGAATTTATTTTTGAGTTTTTTTCCTAACATTTTGGGGTTTAATTTGACAAATGATCATGTTCATAATGGACCTAATTAGATGCCAAACGTAGATGCCTAGGGGGGAATTAATTAATTAAAAAAATCATGGCGGGGCCAGAACCTATAGGCTAGGGATGTTTTGTCCTGTAGCATGCACCGAGCTTCTCTTTTTGGTTGGCCACGTAGCATGCACCAAGCTTCGGGTCAACTAAATTCAGCTATGTCTAATCTCATTTTTCTTTATCATTTTGGCCAAAATTTAATGTTGGCAACAAATTTTTATATATTGATTAGGCCTGCATTAAGATGGACACATTGAACAAATTAATTTCATATTGACAAGACTAATCACATCACTTAGATTTCCTAAATTAGCTGGCTGATTATGGTTGCGCGCTTGCTTTAAAAGGACGAATGAATTGGAAGTGAGGATGGTTGTTCATGTGAACTGATGAAATTCCTCAGTAGGCCCCATGTAATATATATATATATATATATATATTTATATATATATGGCTCCTGAATTTTGAACATGATATTTTAAGTTTATTCGAGATATTGTTTTATTAATAATTTTTTAATTTTTATATAATTGAAATGTTAAAATATATTTAAAAATATTAAAATAAAAAATAAAACACAGCTCATTCTTCTCCACCAAATATGTTTGATGATGATCGACATCCCCTAAATTAAAGAAAAAACAAAAAAGTGTGACTAGATGAGTAATTAATTAGCAGGCAATTATTTAATGGACAAGGAAGATATTTTTGCAATTAATTTGGTGCACGTTAATTACATAATGTTAGCTTAAAACCTTTGTTTCTGCAATCTTTTTGACTGATTTCCATTAGGATCTTAGGACCACCACCAACATAATAAATAAAGTGCCTTATCTTGGTGGGTTCTTAGGTATTCCTTTCATCTCAATTAATATTTTAGATTTGCAAAGATCTAGTTTTATTAATACTTTGCTTTTTTTTTTAATAAAAAAAGGAAAAAATATAAAATAAATTAAAAATAAGAAAATAAATAATAAAAATACCTATCAAACAAAATCTAAGTTTGGTATATTATTATTTGCATTTTGTAAATAAACTTAACTAATGATTATATCATAATTGACAGTCATGTTTTGAGAATTAACTATTAACAGCTTATATATTTATATTAATTATAAAAAAAAATTGATTGAATTTGGTGTTACAGGTCAAATTATACAAATTCAGTTGAAAAAAAAATTAAAAATGTCAAATTATATAATAAAGGTATTCATATTTTTTAATTTTTTATATTATATATTTAAAAATATACCATTTTCTCCCTTAAAAAATTACCCATAACTTTTTTTTTTTTTTGGTCTTTCGGTGTATACAACACTTTAGAAACTTCAAATAATCATTGACTGTTTCAACTTTTCACGTTCAATTTATTTTTAATGTGAAGTTCGAAGACTTAATTAACTTTAAAATTTGTGATTTTAAAGTTTTTTGGGGTTAGTGTATAAAAGATTAGATTTTTTTTAAATGGATAGGGAATTAGGAAAATGGGCTTGGGAGATGTTATGGGAAAATAAAAATGTGATTAGGAGGTGTAACGAATTAAAATTATTTTTTAAAATTTAATTTGGGGTGTAAATAATAATAGAATATGGAGAATAATTTTGGGATGTGAATAGAAGCTCCCATTCCCAAAATTCTAGTTGTCATTTGCGTCCCTGTGAATCTGAGGGCTGGGCTCATACTGAATCGATGCCCAGATTTTACATCCATTTTTATGTTCTTGCAACATATTCATACGATAATTAAGTGAATCTATGTTTAGATTTACATAAAAATTTTTAAGTTAAATTTTTTGTTAAAAATGATTAAATAAAAATTAAAATCTAAAATCAAAATTGATAAATTAAAAGATCTGATTATATAAATTAAATGTGTAAAATTTAAAAAAATTTTGAAAAAAAAATATATTTTTAGTAAAAATATTAATAAAATTTTTATCATTGAATAAATATCGATCAATTTTAAATTATAAATAATATTTTTTATTTTTTTATATATTATTGATATTTATGTTAAATTCTATTAATCTATCAATTTAAATTTTTTAATAAAATTTTATTAAATCATTTAAAAAGAATTTTTCAAAATTTACTTAAAATGTAAGATCTGTCGGTTGCTCAAGTCCAAATATGAAAAACCCGCCTATACGCGGGAGTTCCCAAAAAAAAAAAAAAATTCACAGAGTACTGATATTGCCTTATATTACTCACGTTTTCCTATTCTGTTTTTATAATTTTATTGCCTTAATCCATAGCGGAGAAAACACTATCATATTACTAAGTTTTTTGATGATTGGATTTTCTCAATGACATCAAATTCCCCCCCAACTCCCTCCAATGAAAATGGCTTGTGGGTAGTGGTTCTACCATAAACCTTTTGTTGTTAGTAGAATCTTTCTTGAGCAATCCATGCTATCAAGAAAGTTATTCTTGAATCTTCACTTTGGGAGTTCATAGTTTTGCTGTTAATAGTATTTTGGAAACGAATAATCTTAATCTGTGAGATCCCACATGACTTTCATTGCATTATGAGTAAGCAAGGATCTTGAATCGGGTCCCTAACAATATTCGGAGCCACCTAGGAATTGATTTTTGCTCCATTTTGTGGCAAAAAACAAATGTTTCTCGTTGATCAGTCACGCAACTTGGGCTTTGTCTCTTCCACTAGTTTTGCCTGTGGAAATGCATCAGCAATTTTGTTAAAAGTTTGAAATCAAAACAAAGAACTATATTCGAGTTCAAGAGCTTTTACATTAGCTTCTGCAACAGGTTCTTTGGGCTCTCCATTTTTTTATTCACAATCATTAATTTGGGGTAAAATGTTAGTACTTTTGATTATGTTAAACTGAAGACATTCCACAATTATGTCATTGTCTGATTAAATGGCATTACTTACTACTTTTGTCTTTTGTTTTATTTTCTTTGATCAATGGATTTAGAAGTGAGAAGTCTATCAGTTCAGCCAAATGTAATTTACAATAAGGCTGTCAATGGTATCGCTCATTTCTATGTCCGCAAGAAGCCGATTGAGAGAGTATATGATCATGTCATATATGCAGGCCAAGGATTCGAATTTTTGGCTCCAAACTCTACCTGGTCTCTGCAAACAAGAGGCGCAAGCGCAAAGAAGAAACAAAAATAAAGAATGCAAAACCAGAATTTTTGAATGTTAGATGTGTGTTTTTCCCTTTAATATTGTTTGGAGCAGAGCAAGACAATTCTTGGAATAAGTTCTAGTTAATTTTGCCATGGTCAAAAGATGAAGACAATGATATACTTTATAGAACTCCAAGATTTAGCCAGAAGCCCTTCAATGAAGTTTCTCAACAGCTTGCATATATAAAATGCACATTTATATTGCTAGCAACAAATTATTATTAGGAATAAGTTTGGATTAGATGAATATCATTGACTTTTGTCTGATTAGATCATACCTTGCAATGAAGACTATCTAAGAAAAAAAGAATTAAAGACATCTTTGATGGCTCAAAGAGATTGTTTAAGTTATTGCAGGGGCTTAGAACATCGTCTGTCGATGACAAGTGTCATCCGATTGTGCCCTCAAAAGGGTTCAAAGGGTTGTAGAGATATTTGATAAATACAAAGTCTGTTCCCTTAACTCCTGTAAGAAGAGTAATTGTGAGGCAAGTTCTTATCTTGGAATCAACTCCAGTGGCTCTCTGTCTTTTTCCACTCCGTACATGACAAACCGCATTCTTACAGAATGAGTTTACCTGTATTCAGATGGTTAATTGTGTTTGTAAGAATAAAAAAAGTATGAAAGTTTTGATGTCATGTAGCCAGTTCTGTCCTAGAGTTCTTTCTTTTCTTACACCAAATCTGATATTTGCTGATAACTCTCCTGCAATGATTTGCCTCAAACTGAGCTTGAAATAAAGTAATCAATAATCAGTCCTTTTCCCTTTCCTGGACCTCTTAAACTAAACACTAAAATTCATTTGACCATGTCTCATGAGGCAATAAAAACTAAACTAGTTGAGTCTTTCGTCTTGTTTCGACTTAATTTCCTAGTTGCGTATGTTATTTCCATACGGCTAAGGGAAATATGCTTCTTTGTAAGCTTGTAAATGGCATGCATCGATGCCGACATCCAATGACCCAGGAGCATTTAAATAATTGAATGCATGCAATGCCATGCATAACTTCATGTACTTTTCTGCAAGGACTTTAAACCTTTCATACTGTCAAAACCAGATTCAAAGTTATAGATTCATATTATGATCAGGTCATTTTCACTGATAGATAATAGCTCTCATTGCAAGTAATTGTAAAGGATATTCGCCGGCATCTGCTGTATGCCTGTATCTATTGTACCTGACTTTTTAAGATAATATAAATGTAAGAATTACAAGGAAAAGAATGAACGTCCTGTTAGCAGAAAATCCAATCTGTGACTAGAAGGGTATTACATTGCAACTTCGAGGAAGATAAAACTGAAAACCCTGCGTTGGCAAAAAAAAGGGGGGGGGGGGGAAGATTTCGGATAGAATTATATATTCAAGCGCTGGTTTATTATATATTTGTGTTCATTAATGACAGGCCAATGCAACAGTACCTTGGTCTCAAGATGGAAAAACCATTATTTTAATAGTTGCAACCAATCAGTACGAGGATGTTTGACCTATGGATTTTGGTTGAAAACGCATTATATCTTACAGATGGTTCATTCGAAACTCCAAAAACTTTCCTTATCCATTAGCCTTAAATAATGTATATTTCATGCAGCAAAGCCTCTCAGCTTAACAAAACCAAATACATTTGAAATTAAACCTGTTCTTTAAGTTTACATTGATGTTACCACTCTTCAGAACCAAATTGCACGGCAAGCAACAAAGAAATCGGCACCAACTTGTGAATGAAGCAGAGAAAATAACCATATCTTTTTAACTGCATGAAGGAGTATAACCGTGCATGTAAACCAAGTACAAAACAACATCCTGAATCCTACTATCAGATAACGACGACTATTATTTATGATTATTAAGTATGGTGGTCGCTCCAAGATCTTCACAAATTTATTTATTTAATTTCTTGTTTAGTTGTTTACCACCTTGTACAAATTCTAGTAGAAATACCAAGAAAGTGATTCGCAATATCTTCCCCCCTACGAAATGTATGGAATGAACAGTGCTACCCTCCCACCAGGGTTCAGATTCCATCCTACAGATGAAGAGCTTATCGACCATTATCTAAAGCCTAAGGTTTCGCCTTCCTCAAATCCTCTAATCTCAATAATAGCTGATGTCAATATCTACAAGTTCAATCCCTGGGAACTTCCTGGTACTCCTTTGCTTGTCATCTGATATGATATCTTACATTCATCTTTGGCATTTACTTTATTTCATGTTTGTTTTTCTAATTATATTTACAGATAAGGCTTATTTTGGGGAGCATGAGTGGTTTTTCTTTAGTCCAAGAGATAGGAAGTATCCGAATGGAACGCGTCCGAACAGAGCAGCTGCATCTGGCTACTGGAAAGCCACTGGGACTGATAAACCAATCATCACATCTGTTGGATCACAATGTCTTGGAATGAAGAAAGCTCTTGTGTTTTACAAAGGGCGTCCTCCCAAAGGTGTAAAAACTGATTGGATGATGGTTGAGTATAGGCTTCTCGATTATTACTTTCTATCTCAGAGGCCTAAAGGATCGATGCGAGTAAGTCACTTTCTTCCCCAGTGAAAGACGTATATTTAAAAAAGATTTATGGGTTAGCCGTGAACTCCAAATAAATTTCTTAAAACCACTTCATTAATGTAGAAAGCTTAATGGCCAGCCAGAGCGTCTGCAATTAAAATGCAGTCAGGGGTTAGGTGTTCTTCCAGGATATGGCAACAGACTTTGCTTTTGGATAGATGAATCCGTAGAAACCACTAACAAATATGCAATAGAGCTTATACCAAATAAGTCTGATATGTAACTATACAAATTTTCGAACCCACCCGAGAACTTTGCTTTTAATCTATTCTGTTTCTTCTTTTTTTAGTTGGATGATTGGGTTCTATGCCGAGTCTGGCAGAAAATCAAAGTTCCTCGACAAATAGGAGGAAGAAACTGTGATAACAGTTCTAGCTGTTCCCCTCCATTCGCTTGTGGGTACTTACAAGGTCAAGAGATGATAACAGAGAACACCATTCCTCAAGGCAATGATAAATATCAGTTGTCTGCAGAGTATCAAATGGCTCCGCTGGAGAGTGAAGAACTGGATGAAAAGGGGTTCCAAGATGGCTCTGCAGAATACTCGCTCTCAACTCTTACATCAAACTCTCAAACAACCATTGATTCTAATGTCAAAGACATGCTCAAATCTATTGAAAGGGTACTTTCTGTTGGAGCTTTGGATGAACTATTGTTATCACAACCAGGGAAAATGTTGAAGGCTGCTTCGACCTCAAGTAACACTGGCAACGCATCCGTTTTTCACAATTCTTCTCCGGCCCAGAGCTTCTCAGAGTTCTAATTTATACCATCCTCCTTGTCTGTGAAACATTTTTTCCTTTCTTTATTATTACAGAAGTCCCCTGAGTTCGAGGGTTTCATTACCAAACAAAGGGGAGGACTTATTATTCATAATAATAATTACGTTTGATTTTCTTTGCTACAACAAAGAGAATCAAAGTTATAAATTAGTAGTTTAAAAAGCAATGAAAAATGAAAGAGAGAATAACAGACAAGTGAGATTTTGTTGCTTCAAAGAGTTCTCCAATGTTTCAAAAAAAAAAAAGTTTTTTGAATGAAGAATTTTTATGTTTCAACTTTCAAATGACAAGTGGACAGGGCTGGAAAACCATGATCCCACGTTTTCTCTCAAATCTACATTAAACTAAATTAATTCTTTTTTTTTTTTTATAATGAATTGGATGTATGTATATCCCCTAAATAGTATGATGTTGTTACTTGCTAGTAACTTTTTTCTTTTTGAAGAAAGTTGATAGGATCGATTATCAATATATCAACCAAAAAAAAAAAAAAAAGAAATCTATATATGTTCCCTTTAATTGAACCCTTTAATTATTAATTAAAAAATAAAATTTAAAATTTTTGGTGCAAGTACCAAGAGGTTTCATTTTACATAAGTAATATTTTTGGTATTTAATTAAATTGTTTTGACCTGGAAATTCAAATTCACTTTGTCTAAATTTGGTTTATAGTAAAAAAATGTAATAATTTATTAATAATTATATGATTTGTTTGTAAAATATTAAAATTTTAATTTCAATAATAAGATATCAAATTTTAACAATCTCATATATATATATATATGTAAAAGAAAATATGACATTTGTAAAAATTTAAAAAAAAAGGGTTTCACCTTTTTCTAATGTCTATAACATAAAAAACCATTAGGATAAAAATTAATAATTTTATTATGTTATTAATTTATTTAATTTCAATTTCGATTCATTATTGTAAAGAATAAAGTCATAAAGTGAGTAAGAAATAAATAAGAAAGAATAAATTCCAAAATAAAAATAAATAAAAAAAGAAAAAGAAAATCCGGAAAGTAGCTTTGTTACCACGCTGTCGTTCAGGGTGTGAGACTACATCGTCTAAAAAGACCAAAACACCCTTACACTACACGGACAATAACCGAAAGAATCGCGTATATCAGCGTCATTTTACCCCTCCATACCCACTTCTTATATCTTTTCCCACCCCAATTTTAAACCTCTCTTCCAGGAGAGCGGAAAACCTAATAAACGGTGAAAAAAACAGACCCCGAAAATTCTAAAATTAAAACAAAAGAAAAAAAGCGAAGAGATATTAGATAGAAAATCAAGTGAGCCACGGAGGATCTGAGGAAAAGATGATGAAATTTTTTGCTAGAGGAAAAGACTCCGCCGCTGATGTGTCCCCGCAATCGTTCGATCAATCGGTGTCTCCATCGTCGGCGTCGGGGCCTCCGGTGACCGGTCCCGCGAGGCCGATTAGGTTGTTGTACTGCGACGAGAAAGGTAAGTTCCGGATGGATCCGGAAGCGGTCGCGGCATTGCAGCTTGTTAAGGAACCAATTGGAGTCGTTTCGGTCTGTGGCCGGGCTCGTCAGGGCAAGAGCTTCATTTTAAATCAGGTATTTTTATTTCTTCGTTTATTTTACTTGTTTTGAAGATGAATTGGAGGAAATTTATGAATTTTTTTTTTTTTGATGTTTTGGTAGGTGAAATAATGAATTCTAGGGTTTGTGACTTTAAGAATTGAAAATGTTGTAAATTTAGGGTTTTAGAGGGACCAAGTGTGTAAATTGTGATTAATTGGAGGGATTTTTGGTATAAATTTGCTGTTTTTAAAAGGCTTCATTTATTATAGCTGTAATCGGAAAGTAACAACATCAAATTTAAGTTTCTATAAATAAGCTCATTTGAGTTGAGATAAATAAAACTAACGAGGTTGACTAGTAATGTATGCTTTCTACAAAGAAAAACATAGGCAGAGATAATTATAGTTTTGAGTTTACGATAAGTGAGGATGAGTACAGAGAAACTTATTCATATGAAATGTGTCTAACCAGCCGTATATCCTTTTTCAGACACTGAGATTGAGCCGCATTAATTTTTCTTGTCTTCTTTTATTTTCAATCTTTGTAAAGCATCAATTGTTGAGTTATTTGTGGTATCACCGTTAAATTTTATGTACTTGTAAGTGATTTTCTCCTATTGAAGCTTGTATGATATCTGTTTTTTATCAGCATTTGATATCTTTTTTTGTGCTATAGCTTCTTGGAAGGAGTAGTGGATTTCAAGTAGCGTCAACTCATCGACCATGTACAAAAGGGCTTTGGTTGTGGAGTGCACCATTGAAGAGAACTGCTCTTGATGGAACTGAGTACAATCTTTTGCTATTAGATTCTGAAGGAATAGATGCCTATGATCAAACGGTTAGTTTCCCCTTACTTTTAGTGGGAATGGATTGGTTTTTGATTGGTTTGGTTATTTTTACTTTGCTCTAATCTTGCAAACTTGACAGGGAACATACAGCACTCAGATATTTTCCTTAGCTGTCCTCTTATCTAGTATGTTCATCTACAACCAGGTTGGTACTTTTTTTTTTAATTTTTTATTGAGACTTTTATCCTTTTAATTGGCTTGTTAATAAGTTTTTTCCACCCCACCCCCAAGTTTTGACTGTCTACTTCTGATATTTAGATGGGAGGTATAGATGAAGCTGCACTGGATCGTCTCTCTCTTGTCACTCAAATGACAAAACATATTCGAGTCAAAGCTGGAGGAAGAACAACCTCAGCTTCTGAACTTGGGCCGTTCTCCCCAATCTTTGTTTGGCTTCTTAGGGTAATATTTGATTACATACAGACATATATACAATCTGCCTAATTTTTGGTTGTCACATGTTTAGTTCTTGAATATGGATGTCATGAGCTTTCTTATGGTTGCAAAATATAAGTTTTCCTCTCTTTTGTAAATTATTCATCTTACTTGCAGGATTTTTATCTGGATTTGGTGGAGGATAATAGGAAAATCACTCCTCGTGACTACCTAGAGCTTGCTTTACGGCCAGTTCAAGGTAGTGGAAAAGATATAGCTGCCAAAAATGAGGTAATTCTTAACATGGATTTTAATTGGGGGAGTAAAAGAAATCAATAATAATTCTATGGAGGCATGACGAAAAGAAAGTGTCTTAATAATTAATATGCAAAATTTGTTGCATGGTTGTGGATGCAAGTTCTGTGATAGTCACTGATTATGCATGGTTAATTGTTGATAGATCCGGGACTCCATTCGAGCCCTATTTCCTGATAGAGAATGCTTTACCCTTGTGAGGCCTTTGAACAATGAAAATGATCTCCAAAGGCTTGATCAAATATCGGTTAGTATCTAACTGTTTCCATATATGCTATTCTTTCTCTGTTTTTCTATCATCCTTTTTGTCTCTTCTCCCTCCTCCCCTTTCTCAGTCGTGTCTGTGTCTTTTCTGTTTAGCATGCATCATATATTTTCTAAGACCTTGGTTTTTATATGTAGCTTGACAAGCTGAGACCTGAGTTTCGAGCTGGGCTTGATGCATTGACAAAGTTTGTTTTTGAGAGAACAAGGCCGAAGCAGGTTGGGGCTACTATACTGACAGGGCCTGTTCTCATTGGTATCACATCATCTTATCTGGATGCTTTGAATAATGGTGCAGTGCCCACAATATCTTCCTCGTGGCAGGTTAGTTACTATTGTCTGGAACTGCTACTGGATATATCATTAAATGGAACTAAAGAGTGTTAAATAAAAAGACCATGATGCTGAAAAAAGTTAAAGAAAGATTCCAAAGCATCAATAATGTAAGAATTTCCTCATTTTCCTTAGAAGGATTCTTATCAGTGTTATTTTCATTCAGAGTGTTGAAGAAGCTGAGTGTCGGAGGGCATATGATTCTGCTGCGGAGATTTATATGTCAAGTTTTGACCGTACAAAGCCACCTGAGGAAGTAAGTAATGCTTTTATCATAATTGTTTTGTGGTTGTTTTGATAAATCTTTCAACATTTCTAATCTTGATGGTCCTAGGTGGCATTGAGGGAAGCTCATGAAGAAGCAATTCAAAGAGCGCTGGCTGTATACAATGCTAGTGCTGTAGGGGTTGGTTCAATGAGGAAGAAATACGAGGAGCTTCTACAGAAATTCTTCAGAAAGGCGTTTGAGGTATGCAGTAAGTCAAAGGCTACATTTGTAGGTTGTTTTCTATGTTATCAAATACATGGTAAAGCTGAATTCTGGGATTGGTCATTTATGTAGGATTATAAAAGGAATGCATTTATGGAAGCAGATTTACGATGTTCAAATGCCATACAGAGCATGGAAAAGAGGTTGAGAGCAGCATGCCATGCTTCTGATGCAAGCATAGATAATGTTGTGAAGGTATGCGGTCATTATCTAGTTGCCCTTATTCTTCATGCAAATGACTTCAATCTAATTCCGGAACATTATTTCTCCTTATTAACTGCTGTCGTGCGATGATATTCCATATTTAGATTTTACATCACTAAATCTGTAAGGATGAATGCTAGTTAATCAACTAACCTGAGTGGAGTTATCTGTTTTTGACTTTCCTTTTCAGTCATAATTTATTACCTTTGTCTTGATCATATGAAAAGTTACTTTGGCAGTTTCCATAGGATGTCTTTCACTGGATTTGATTAGAATGTTATATTCAGGTTCTTGACGCTCTTCTATCTGAGTATGAAGCATCATGCCATGGCCCTGGAAAATGGCAGAAACTGGCCGTATTTTTACAGCAAAGGTTTGTATCCTTTTTTTTATTATTTTTTTCTTTAAGATGGTACTGGGGCTTTAGTCTCTACTTTAAGATGTTAACTTTCTTTGTCTATCAAATTGAACTTCAGTATGGAGGGGCCAGTACTGGATTTCACCAAGAGACTCATAGATCAGATTGGATCAGAGAAGAGTTCCCTCGTTTTGAAATGCCGTTCAATTGAGGATAAAATGAAGTTACTCAACAAGCAGCTGGAAGATAGTGAGAAATATAAATCTGAATATCTGAAGCGTTATGATGATGCTATCATCGACAAGAAGAAGCTAGCTGAAGAATATGCTAGCCGTATCAATAATTTGCAAGGTGATAACAGTTCACTAAAGGAGAGATGTTCTAGTTTAATGAAAGCACTGGATTCTGCCAAGCAAGAAACATTAGACTGGAGAAGAAAATATGATCAGGCGGTATCAAAG